TTTCAATTTTAGAAACTAGTTTATTTATAATGTAAATAAACATATAGTGAGTAGAGAACCTCTACTTCAGAAGAAACAAACAAACACACACACACACACACACATATATATATATATACATACACACACACACACACCACACACACACACATATATATATATATAAATGTATATATACATATATATACATATATATATATACATACACACACACACACACACATATATATATATATCTCTATATATATATATCTCTATATATATATATCTGTGTATGTGTGTGTGGTGTGTTGTGTGTGTGTGTGGCTCATATATGTACACCCACACACACACACACCACACACACACACATATATATATATATACATAGATATATATATATATCTGTGTATGTGTGTGTGTGTGTATAAACATATATACATACATATATATATATATAGATATAGATATAGATATAGATATAGATATATATATATATTCTATATATATATATATGTGTGGTGTGTGTGTGTGTGGCTCATATATGTACACCCACACACACACGCACGCACACACACACACATATATATATATAATAGATATATATATATCTAATATATATATATATGCATATATGTATATATATATATATTTATATATATATATATGCATATATGTATATATATCTATATAATATATATATTATATATCTATATATAATATATACATATATATACATATAGAAAGAGAGAGAATGGAGAGACGAGAGAGAGAGAGAGAGAGAGAGAGAGAGAGAAGAGAGAGAGAGAAGAGAGAGAGAGAGAGAGGAGAGAGAGAGAGAGAGAGAGAGAGAGAGAGAGAGTGAGAGAGTGAGAGTGAGTGAGTGGGAGTTTGAGACAAGAGTGCATTATTTTTTTAAATGCATCATCAATAATGCGTCTCTTTACAGGCTTTGTACGCGACATGACCGAGAGTTACACCTTCAGCATATGGCTCCTGGCAAGCATGTCGGCCTGCAGCCTCATTCTGTGGTTCTTCATGCCCGCCGCTATGGCATACGACGCCAAAATGGAAGCCAAAATGGAGAGAGAAAAAGAACGTGTTTGATATTTCTTGAATCTTGTTGATTTTGTCGCCAACTTTAAAGAACGGAGATCAGTCTTGATCCTTATTTTGTGGAAAATAGTGGTGTATCTATGCTATCTTGTCTAATCTGAATCTTGGTTGTTCATTTCATTTTCATTATAAGTTAACATTTAGTAAACTCTTTCATGAAATTTTATGCATCTTATATTTATCTTCATTTTGGAATAAGGAAAAAAATAATGATTTCACATTATATTTTGAAAGTAAGGTTCGTCAATCATTAAAAGCAAGTGATTTATAAGTTAAGGAGAAAAAATATGTCGTGATGTGTGATATTATTACTATTATTAGTTCATCTTTCCATGTTAATTTCAATGACTGGCACGCGACCTCCGCAAATTGTGTCAGCGTCAGATTAATTCATGTAATATGCTGCTATTGTTATAAAAAAGTAAAGTCGTTCCTATCACTATCTTATCAGTAATCGTGTTTTGAAGATAACCTACAGATGTCTCAAGTATATAGTAAATTTATATAACTTTACTAAAGTTTGAGAATGGAGTAATGCAGCCATGTAATGCAGTTGTTGAATGGTACTGATTAAATATTAAGAAACCAAAAGGAAGGAAGAAGAAATATATTTACACAGACATTTATCTTTGACCACTCGTAAGTAATTTCCTTGATAGTCAGTCCATTAATATTCCTGATAACTGAACACACGATACAAATACGATTGAACCTCTTCTCCGACACCCTCAGCAAAAGACACATTCGAAATTCGTGTTGTTGTTGTTGTTGTTATTGCTCTTTTTTAGAGGGGGGGGGGGTAAGAGTTAGAAAATGAGACATATACCCTGTAAGCTGACTGCTGTGGAATGCGACCTTTATTATATTGAAGAAAGATATCTGGGTTTTTCGTAGGATAGTTTAAAGAATTTATGATAAGGGATGTCAAAATACAAAAGGTAACATCGGTAGAGTAATGTAATTCGCATGTTTGTGAATAACAATCATAAGTCTTTAATACGTTTATGTTATAATGACAAGAAAAA